TGTTACCATAGTAACATTGTACTACTTTGGGGAAGTGATCAGTATTTTTTTTTTTTTTTTACACAATTTGCTTATAGCAAAGAAATACTTAGCTATAAGCAAGCATTTACCTGAATGAGATCGATTCATTCAGGTTTTTTTTTTTTTGTGTTTAGCTGTGATTAGGCCACAGCTAATCACATGACATGTGCATGTGACCTGCTGTGACCATTCACAGCTAGTTACTAGTATACAATGGATGGCATGAATGAAGCCATCCATTGTATACAACTGTCATGTGACCTGCTGTGATTGATCACAGCAGGTCACATGGTACCGGCAACGGGGGCCGGTACTCAGATCTGTCATCGGCCGTGTCTGAAGTACACGGCCGGTGACAGATCGCGCCGCTACGGGGCTCTGCAACCGCGAGAACTGCGCATGTGCGGGAGGATGCCAAATGGCGTACACCCCGGAAAGCTAAACCATTTTTGCGGCCGCCAAACGGCTATAGGCCGGGCGGCTAATGGTTAATAATGGCATGCAATGCTATGCTGTGGTTTCTAAAGCGAGCAAAATCCTCTCTTGTATTAAAAGAGGTATAGACTCCAGAGAGAGAGAGATCAGATTACCCCTGTACAAATCATTAGTAATACCTCATCTGGAATATGCAGTTCAGTTTTGGGCAACAATTCACAAAAAGAACATTGGGGAACTGGAGGAAGTACAGAAAAGGGCAACCAAACTGATGAGAGGCATGGAGGAGCTCAGCTATGAGTAAAGATTAGAGGAACTGAATTTATTCTCTCTTGAGAAGAGGAGATTAAGGGGGGATATGATCAACATGTATAAATACATCAGTGGTTCATATAGTGAACTCGGTGTAGAGTTATTCACCCTGAGGTCATCACAGAAGACAAGGGGGCACTCTTTACATCTGGAGGAAAAGAGATTTAATCTCCAAATATGGAAAAGTACTTGGACTGATATTATGGGTGAGGGCTCTACTACTAAATTGCTTGGAGTTGGTTCAGCAGTGTGCGTTTGTATTTTCTCCCTGACCTGCTTCTGGGTGTCAATGACTTTGTTGAAATTCTGTGAGAATGGTGTACATTGTCTTTCCATGACTGACTGTCTGAGGTCAAGGAGAGTTAGTTGGACACTTGCTCAGGTACAGCACGGGGGGAGGCCTCTGTGAGGCTTTGGACCCAGTGTTGTTTCATTGCGTCTTTGAATTTTGAACCAGCTGTTGTAAGCAGGTACCTGGTTTGCGCTTGGCACTGGTTCTCAGTCTTCTGTAGGTTTGCGCATTCTCATCTGTAGTGTCCCACTCCTCTGCACTTGAAACAAATCACTCAAATTGCCAGCTTTTCAGCAGGAACAACTGAGGGAGACAAGGACTGATTGGGCCCTGGAACACTTTTTCTAGGCAATGTGGTAACTTTGGTTGCATGCACAGTCACATTGCCATTATTTGTAACATCTGTGAGTTCAAGGTGGCTATCTCCATGCTGATGTCTACTACATTGACTGACTCAGCCTCAACTGACAACCCCATCCTTGGGCTAGCCAGGTCTCTCTTGGCCGCAAACAGAGCTTCTTCCTCTCTCGCTACCTCAAGGTGCTCAGGATATGTTTGTGACATGACATTTGGTGAAGTCTTCAGCTGGATCTATATCAGTTCAACCATTAAAGAAAAAAAAAGTTATAATCCTATACCCACAGTAGATCCAGAGGAAGGCAACTTTGAATGAATCTAAGATTTCTGATGGCCTCCGCAGCAGCTTCACTCACGCTTTCTTTGATTCTTTGTTTCTTTTGCACTTCTAGAACATCCCATTCTTCCAGGTTCTGCAAGGTTTGTTCTATCCAGGTTTCATACTCTTCTTCCCCAGCAAGCACCAGTTGTATCCCCAGGAAAATCTCAAGTTTCTGTAACTTGCCTCTGAATGGATAGCAGTAGTCAGTTTGCACTTGATAATAAAGTTCCAGAGTAGTGAAGAAGTCCGCACCTATGGTAACTGAGGTCATGTCACATACCTGACCGGAGGCTGGAGTAGAGAGAGGGCTCCCTGAGTGCAGTGCTCCCCTGGAGGTGGAGACAGGAGGTGCAGTGCCCGAAGAAGCACAGGTTGCCAGTGGTGTTGCTGCTTGGTGATGAGATGGAACCTGTGGGTGCTCCGGATGCAGGAGTTTCTCCAGAGGACTCGTGGATCCCAGAGATTGAGTAGCGTAGTCAGTAGCCAGAGGCGGGGTCAATACAGAACAGCAGACAGAAGCCAGGTCAGGATCAAGCCGGGTCATACACAGGGCAGCATACAGGAGCAAGGTCAAGATCAAGATCAAGACAGGGTCATACAGGGAGCAGCAGACCGAATCAAGGTCAGGATCAAAGCTGAGGTAGAGAGCCAGGAAGAGAGCCAAAGCAAGGTCAGGGTCAAGCCGGGTCAGTAATGGGTAATCAATAGTAAATACAGGAACACAGGAACTGGAGGGCTCATGATAATCCAGCAATTTACTGAGCAGTGTTGCAGTTCTTATAAAGGCCACTGATTGTTGGCAATTATCGCGCCCTGTGTGTGCCGATGCGCTTTAGCGCACAGGAATGCATGATTATGTGCCACCTGCTTATGTGCACATTTTTTCACAAATTGGTGCGGCCATCTTGAGCATTGGCGCATTTGCCCGGGCTTTCTTGTCTTTTCTCCTGACAGGTCATTTGTGTGGAAGCTCTTTCAGTAGGTGTGGCGTGGCTTTTTCAACTCTCTGGACTCGTATCTGACACTCTCATATGAACTAGGTGGGCTTCAATCTTTTTAATGAGCTGTAGACTAGCCCCCCAGAAGCAGGTAGGGATTCCTCTTCTCTATTTTAACAGCACAAATAAGTGCGATAGGTGTCTTGATCCATTTTCAGGACCCATAGAAACACTCTGTGATCAGAATCTAGAACTGTTACGGCTTGGCGGACCTGCTCTTCTGTTCAAGTATTTCTGGGGATTTTGACCACTACACGTGACTCCCGGTGACCATTTTGCTCCTCACACAGCTGGATTTCAGCAGCGAGGTCCATATTGGCTGTTTTTCGCTTGTTGTCTTGGTAAGTTTCTTGTTGAACAGATATCCTGGACTAGAAGCCCTCACAAGATGTACTAATTCTGCAGGAGCCTCTTGGTAATTTGGGATTTCTGTTCTGTGCCTCAACTCTAGGAACAACCTGGCTATGGATCTCTTTTCAAAGGATGGTAGAACAGTAATATTGCCACCTTCTGAATGCTTGGGGTTTTTGGGGGGGGTTTTTTAGATGATGGAAGATTTTATGTGGGAATATGATGGGAAAATTGAATATTTCCTTATTAAAACAATATCTATATTAAATATATATATTAAAACCTGTGTAGGGAGGTGCAGTCTGTACTCCCCACTGTAGGAGGTGCTCGACCTAAGCAGCAATGCAGTAGGGCAAGCAAGTTGTGAGGAACTTGGTTCCTCTATGACTTCCAGTGGTCACCAGGGAGATAGCTGTTGGATTGGGTGCTGGCACCCCACGTGACCTCGGCAGCCATCTTGGGCCAGGGCAGAGTCTATTGAAGACTCTGGCTCCTGGGTTTGGTTTGTTTAGTGTGAGTGTCTAGTGTAGGGACAGGTTCCCTGTCTGGCAGGGACAGCACATAATGGTAGGGAGAGGTTCCAGAGCAGTAGCGAAGTTGCAGGGGCCACGCTATCCCCACTCAGGAAGCCCCCTATTTGGGGGCCACATTCCCGCTCCTCGTGGCAGAAGCAGTGGGCATCATCCCAGTGTATGCTTCTCTTCTACAGTATCATAAGTGGCTCTGGTCGGCTGTGCCTACCCACCGGGCGTGGTTGTGTATTGTAGGAAATGTTGTAATACATTGTTCAATCTCATCCCAGGCTCTGCGTGTTCTCAGCCCGCCAACACACCACGCTGCACTCTATCCACATGTGGACTTGCATTTGGTGGCAATACCGGCTGTAGGTAGTAGGGCCTTTGGCTAGGATGACTCGTGGCTTGACATTTGCTAAAATCACAGCTTAACCACCTATTTTTACTGTCCCCAGCCCACCTGTATAAATGAGGACCTACAGTGTGCACACAGAACAATGTAAATCCAGCCTACATTGTTGTGTTAAATTTAGTGGATGGCTTGAGGTTTAGGATTTCAGGAAGTCAGTGATGGATATGAAACATTCCCTCCTGATACCTGAACTGTGTATGGGAGTGGTTTCTATGCCTGGCATGGTCAGACAATGCACTCCATGCACAGCCTTTTGTTTTATTGATTCAATCTTAATCACGTGAAAAAAAGAAAACATTTGATTTTTATAGATTTGTTTTGCTTCATTTTATTTTCTATGACGATTTCTTAGGGCATCTGGTTTCTTTTTGTTTTGACTGGGTTGCATCAGGCTCAGGAAAGGCCATTCATACACAGATGTTGTACTAGACATCCCTCCTTCCCCCGCCATGGCTGATGCCAGAGGCATTCTCTTGTTACTACAGCCATGACGACAGAGGAGCTACTGTGCTTGATCCAGCCCCGATGCTCTGTGAATGACAACCTCTGGCAGGTGACTGGAAGCCACAGCATTACCCATGACAGAACTGCGGACTTTTCCCGCCCACTCCCCACCTCCTTCACACTCATTCCCTGGAGGCTAGGGAACCGCTAGCTGACTGGTGTTCTGGCGTCTAGGAGACGCTTGGCCACCAATCAGCTGCTGTTGCCTCGCTAAAGCTTCTAGTTCTATTGGCCAGAGCCGAGCAGCCAATAGACGCAAGATTGGAGTGATGGTGGGCGTGGCGCGAGCGCGCAGGGTGTTGTGTTGTCTCCAGACAGAACTGCTGCGCGCGCCACAGGTGCAGCTGCCGTTACACCGAGCGCGTGCACAGCGAGGAGCGTTCCGCCCGTGAGCGGTGTGGCGTGTCCGGCCTCTCCCTGCCGTGCTTCTGGTGCAGCGCTGCCGACATTCTCTGTAAAGCTGCCTGCAGCGGAGTGGGAGATGTCCCAGCAGTGGGTGAGGAGAAACGGCTCCCCCACACCTCCGGTAACCCCGGCCGGTGGCGTTCCGGGCGGTGCTCCTGGGGGCCGCCTTCAGCCCATGAGAGCCACTGTTCCCTTTCAGCTGAAGCAGCACGGCAGCCCTACACGGGTGAACAATAACAATGGGGCCGCCCTGCGCCCTCCCTCCCGGAGCGGCAGTCCGACCAGAGGGAGCGGGGCGAACGGCAACGGTGTGGAGTCCCCCCCGGCAGTGAGCAGCTCCAGAGGAAGTCCCACCGTGTCCACCCAGACCGGGGCGTCACCCACCCGAGGACATCTTCATCACCACCATCATCACCATCACTCCCACCATCATCACCACCACCATCATCATCATCACCACAACCAGGCCGGATCCCCCACCTCCAGCAGCCCGGCTGTAGACTCCGGGACACCGGGAGTACCGTCCTCCTCCTCCCCTTCTCCGGTGGGCAGGCCAGGCTGGCAGCAGAGGAGCTCCCCCGAGAGCAAGAGCCCCAGCTCCCCCAAAGGTAAACACAGCTACCCTCCCCCACTGCTGGGGACAGACCTGGGGTAGGGGGACCATCAGATCTTGCATTGGTCGGCCATCACACGCACACGCTTGGCCAGACGTGTTTTTCTTTCATTTAATCAAGGCCGGTTCACATTGGAGATCGCATTCTGGTTTTGAAAGCCATTTCAGTAAGTCGCCAAATGCAAGAACTACTGTATCAGATCACTCCGCACCAAATGCACTGCGAGTGCCAGATGTGTTTGGGGTGCCATCAATAATTGGAACGCATGCTTGTCTTGTCATATCATCATATGCAGGAAACATGCACAGCCCTTAAAGCATACGTTTATCTTCACCCATATGTATATTTAGGGCGTAACATGTTACCAAAGAGCATCTACCAGCTCCCCTCCCCTGTGACAGTGGATGGGGGATCTTCTCCCCACACTTGCTGTTACAATTTAAAAAATGTGACCGTGCGGGGCTCCGCCTACAAGGCAGCATCATTCATTCACAGCAATCTGAGTGAACTACAGCTACCCTCTGCCCCTGCAGCAGACAGGTCGTAGTTTTTAGGCCTTAAGCACAGATGGCGTTTTTGCAGCCGCTTTTAGGCTAGGTTCATATATGTGCAGGTGGTGCCACTGCAGATCTGCACAAACATCAGTGCAGCTGCACCTCCCACACAGAAGAATGCGTATCCACAGGCGGGTGCCATTGATTCTAATGGCACGCCACCCGCACTAGAAATCGCAACCGCACTGAGAACCAAGGTTCCCATGTGGGCTGCGGTTTACAAAGAAGTGCAGGGACTTCTTTCCTGCGTGTCCCGGGGCATAAGAGTCCATTCAAAGGAATGGGCTCTCCTGCGTGTCCCGGGGCATAAGAGTCCATTCAAAGGAATGGGCTCTCCTGCGTGTCCCGGGGCATAAGAGTCCATTCAAAGGAATGGGCTCTCCTGCGTGTCCCGGGGCACATGAGTCCATTCAAAGGAATGGGCTCTCCTGCGTGTCCCGGGGCACATGAGTCCATTCAAAGGAATGGGCTCTCCTGCGTGTCCCGGGGCACATGAGTCCATTCAAAGGAATGGGCTCTCCTGCGTGTCCCGGGGCACATGAGTCCATTCAAAGGAATGGGCTCTCCTGCCCACACAAAATGGCCAGATATATACGTGAAGCAGGGGTAAGGGCTTGTTCACACGTGACTAAATTTCTAACTCTTTGCAACGCTCTTAGAGCGTTAGTATGGGCGTTAGGCGTTAATCGGCTTTAGTATGGCTGTTACACTGGCGGTTTACAAGCATTAAAAACGCTCCCCAAACACCCTATGCCCAGTTTTGATGCGGTTTCCAAGCATTATAACTACACCACAAATGCCTATAATAAACTGTTTGCGGAGCATCACCATAGACTTGAATGGGAGGCATTGAAAGGCTCCAAACTCCTCCTGACACGATATGAGGCTTCAGTTTTGAAGCGATGCAACACTAAGGGCTCGTTCACACTAGGCTGTTTTGCCAACGCTTGCCAAACGCCCCTATAGCGTTTGGCAAGCGTTGGTCCGGTGTTTGCGGAGCGTTTTTTAACGCTCCGCAAATGCCGCATGCGCGGTTTAGCGGCGGTTGCTAGGCGTTTGCCGAGCGTTAATAACGCCCCACAAACGCCTATAATGCATTTGAGTGGTGTTACCGCTCCGCAAACACCCCGCAAACGCGTCGCAAACGCCGGCCGGGCGTTTGCGGAGCGGCACCATAGACGAGAATAGGAGGCTTCAAAGCCTCCTGACTCGACCAGAGGCGTCCGTTTTGCCGCGACGCGACGCAAACGCTCCTGTTAGAACAGCACCATGTGCTGTAATGTGCAGAATTGGCAGAGGCGTTTGGGAAGCGGTAAAAAACGCTTCCCAAAAGCCTCTCTGCCGCCTGCACACAAGGCTAGTGTGAACATAGCCTAAAGCTTCATGTTTTGATAATGTGAATAGCACTGTATGCTGCCCATAGCATCATTTGTATCGTTTGAGGATGCCCCTTAAATGCCTGCTTTCATTGCCAGTGTGAACTAGGCCTTAGTCCAGGTTCACACCTCTGCATTTTTGCGTTGCATTTTGCAAAAATGCACAGCAGTCCATTTAGCATGATTTCCTATGGGACCAGGTTCACATCTCTGCTTTTTCACCTGGTGCGTTTTTTGGAAAGGGTCAGGGACTTTAAATGCAAATTGTTGTGTTTTTGCTTTATAGACTTTAATGGAGACGCTGCAGAAAAGCATGTAATGCATATTTTACGTGTTTTGTGGTTTAATCTGCCCAGCAAGAAGTTGGAAAAAAAAAACGCACCGCAAAATGCACTATAGAAACGGATCAAAGGCAAACTGCATAGGTGTGAACATAGCCTTAGTCTTCACGCCCCTCCATGTTATCCTGTGTCTCTGCACACAGACTTTTAGAAGCTTTTATTGGTAGGAGCTTTTAAGAGCTGTAAAAAAATCCACTGCCAGTGCATCCAGGAGCAGCAGCGTTTTGGCAGAAAATACACTTGATGCGTGTAAACGTGCCTAAACGGGTGTCAGCGCTAGGTGCTTTTAGTGCTTACGAGTTAATTCATTTCAATGGCCAGAATAAATTTGTTCTGGCCAATGAAATTAACACTCAAGCAATTGACGCCTGTAAACGCACCTAAACACGTGTAGAAGCGCTAGACACTTTTGCAAGCACCAGGCGGTTAGTTTTTTCTTCCAAAACGCTGTTGCCAAGAGCAGCAGCGTTTTTACAATGTCCTCTGTGCATGAGGCCTTAATGATCTGAAAGGATGCTGGTAAGTGCTCTCGTAGTTTATTGATCTTCCTGCTCTCCAGTAACTGTCTGACCTTATGGAACTGCTATACTGAGATTCTGCAGGAGCCAGACATTGCACCCCCAATCTGCTGATTGTGGGTACAATGCTCTGTCGACCCAGGAAAAAATTAAATAAATGCACATTTTTTTTTTTTTTTTTTACCTGTGAAGATCTGTGTATTTATCATTTTTTAAAAGGTGAACTTAGCCTTTAAACTCAGGAACTTAGATTTCATATATGCTTCAGGGTCAGTTCACACTGGAACGCGGTGCGTTCGTGTGCATTCACAGCATTGCCCTTAAGAGACGCGCAAGGGTGGTGTTAATGTTACCCCCAAACACAAACTCAGAGTGCATGGTACCCAAGTGCAGCACCATCCGAAAAAGTAGTGCTTCCATTACATTTGGCAGCCCATTGAATAGGTGGTCAAAACTGGACCACACAGGAACAGGCGTGCTCCATTTTTAACTGGCTCTTAATCAATTAGATTTAAACCAAGTCACTAAGAGGTCATACATGCTTTAAAGTAGTGTTTAACCCCTTCACTCCTAAGGGTAAAACAAATCTAAATGCCTAAGCACAATTTTGCAACGTTGACATGTGATAGTAAAACCGTACATATCACAACTACTGTGTACATCCAGGTGAATTATACCACATTTTTTTTCAGGACAAATTGGGCTTTCATTTGGTGGTAAATGGTAATGGATAGCTCTTGAGTTTTTTTTTTTTTTTTTTTTTTTTTATTATCAAAGGAAAACTGTCCCAAAATAGTAAAAAAAAAAAATATTTTTTTTTATATAGCTGTGTGTTTCTTGTTACTACCATAACTTACTACCATAACTTACTACCAAAGAACAACCCAAAATAAATTCTCCAGCTCTTGACAATCGCAGCGATACCATATATGTGTATGTTATTTGTTGTTTGTACCCGTAGCACAGCCAAGAAACAATAGTGCGCATTTTGCTTTTGTCTTTTTTTTTTTTTTTTTACCTAATACACACTGACACCAATTTTTTCTTAATCCTGACCTTTGACCCTTACCGTGACCCAAATAATAACACTGGCACTGAACTAAATCAAACCTTGATCTAGATTTTTTTTTACTTTTTAAATAATTTATCTTTTTTTTTTTTTTTAACAAACATTTTTTTTCTCTCTATGCCAGGAGTTAGAGAGATGCAATGTGTCTCTTCTCCATTCATAGAGAGAGAAAAAAAAAACCAAGGGGGCCAGGCTGCACAGTGACTGATCACTGTGATAGCCAATCAGAGGCTATCACAGCACTCATGTGACCTGGAATCGGGAGTCCTAGGTCCCGATCGTTAGAACGGGACTCTGGGCTCTCAATGACACCGCAGTCTTTGTTCTGGGAGCGCGGCGTGCTCCCAGCACAAAGACTGGTACACAAATATACGGCCCCACAGAAAAAAGCCCAGTTCCGTGAGGCCGCATATTTGTGTGACGTCGGCGTCAAGGTGTTAATCTGCAGCTTTCACAAAATAATAGCTGGAAATTTTGCCCTGAAGGTACTTGTTCAGGCACTTCTTTTTAGGCAAACCATAGATTATGGTATTTTCTTTACTACATCCCACCCACAGTGTATTGTGTTCTATAGTTCCATGCAAACAATTAGACAGGCTGGTTGTACTGAAGTTGATCAATAGATCAACTTCAGTACAGCCTTCTTACCCATAGATGGATCGAATCTCAGTCAGTGTCTGCTGAATTGGCCAAGATTCGATTCATCTATGGGCGGCGTTATGGGGTGATAACCATCTCCCAGTTGTGCTCCTGCATTGTCACATTGTGTTGACTGTTGAGGAAGATGGAAAAATTTCCCTGGACCGCAAAGGTTATCTCACGGGTATTTCTTCCTTACAATTTTGACATTGATGTAAATGATATTCCCGGGCAGGTGTCTTACATGTCGGAGGCTCTCCACTGTCTCCTTGATTTGTAGTGTAATGTAATAAAATTGGAAATTGAGGTGCCACACCATTGCTAAGAGGTGCAGATACAACTTTATTCCAATAAATAAATCAGGTGGCAATTCAAAAAGTAGCCATTGCATTTCAGGGTCCAAAAGTGCGCCCTTCATAGTAAGTAAACTAGACATGAACCAGAACTTTAATGGCTTTGCCCAGTGTGATTACAAGCACAGGCCTTGTCAGCAGCTG